GTAATCTCTTATGATGCTTTGTATTTCTGTGGTTTCAGTTATAATGTCTCCTTTTTCATTTCTTTTGTTTATTTGAGACTTCTCTCTTTTTTTCTTGGTTAGTCTAGCTAAAGGTTTATTGATTTTTTTAATCTTGCTGAGAAGCCAACTGTTTCACTGATCTTTTGTATTGTTTGTTAAATCTCTAATTGATTTATTTCTGCTCTAATCTTTGTTATTTCTCTCCTTCTGCTGATTTTGGATTTGCTTTGTTCTTGTTTTTCCAGCTTCTTAAGGTGTAATGTGAAGTTGTTTATTTGAAGTCTTTCTTCTTTTTTGACGTAGGCATTGATTGCCATAAACTTCCTTCTTAGAACTGCTTTTGTTGTGTCCCATTGGTTCTGCCATGTTTTGTTTTCATTTTCATTTGTCTCCAGGAATTTTTAAATTTCCTTTTTGATTTCTTCTTTGACCAATTCATTGTTTAGGAGCATGTTGTTTAATTTTCATGTATTTGTATGGTTTCTAGTGTCCCTTTTGTTGTTTATCCAGTTGTGGTTGGGCAAGGTTGTTGATATGATTTGAATTTTTAAAAATTTCTTGAGACTTGTAATTTTAAAAAGTTTGTTGAGAAGAATGTATATTCTACAGTCGTTGGATGAAATGTTCTGTATATGTCTGTTAGGTCCAATCGGCCTACAGTAGAGACTAATTCTGATGTTTCATGGTTAATTTTCTGGATGATCTGTCCTTTGCTAAGAGTTGTGTGTTAAAGTCACCAATTATTATTATGTTGGAATCTATTTCTCCTTTTAGGTGTAATAGTAATTGCTTTATATAACTGGGTGCCTGGAGTTTAGTGCATATATGTTTAGAATTGTTATATTCTCTTGTTGAATTGACCCCTTTATTATTACATAATGACCTTCCTATCTTTTTTAGTTTCAGTTTGCATGAAATCACTTTCAGATGGGTGTGTCTTTATAGGTGAAGTGAATTTCTTATAGGCAGCATATTGTGGTTCTTGTATTATAATCCATTGAGTCACTCTGTCTTTTAATTAGGGCACTTAAACTGTTTGCATTAAGAGTTATTATTGATATATAGAAACTTATTACTGCCACTTTGTTCCTTTTTTTATGGTTGTTTTGTTGATCCTTTTTTCCTTTTTTCTGACCTTACTGTCTTCCTTTGTGATTGAGTGGTTTTCTCTAGCAGTGTATTTTGATTTTTCATTATATATTTTTAGTATATCTCTTATAAGTTTTTGTGTTAATGGTTACCATAAAAACATGTGATAGTTATCACAGATTATTTTAGACTAATAACTTTGATATCTAAGGAAAAAGAAAAAAATCAAAGCCAACTATGTGTTTTGGCATCATTCTCCCCCACTTTTTGAAAATTTTTTGGTTCAAGTTACATCTTTAATAGTGCCCATCTTTTATATGGTGGTTGTATATGTTAGTGTCTTGTTAGATTTGTTCTTTAGTCTTCATACTAAGGATGGCAGCAGTTTATTCACGATCCTTACACCATCGGACCTTTCTGAGGTTGTCTGTGAACTTACTTTACTAACGGGTTATGCACCTTCACATGTTTTCTTGCTGCTCCTTAGAATCATCTTCATTGTTGCTGATTCTCTGGGGAAGGCTTTTTGTGTGGACTGGATTTTAATTGTTGGCTTTCTAATCACTTCCAGGTCTTATGAGGTCAGATACACCTGGGCCGTGTGAAAATTCTGGCCCAGGACTGAGTCTTTCCAGCAAACTATGCTCCCTGCAGTTCTGTCTCCCTGACCAGTCTCCACTGAGTGTGCCTGTACCGATCAGCCGTGCATGCTGCACCCCAATGTTCCCCCAGTGGACCGGCCTCCCTCCCATACTCTGAACATGTCCTTTGGGGTGGGATGTGCACAGTCCCTCACAATGACTCACTGGCCTCTGGGTGGCTCCTTTCTTCAGTCAGCTGTGGCCCTTTGTTCCTATGTGGGTCCACAGGAACCCTGTCAGTGGTCTTACTGGTGTTGGGGCTGGCAGGGTGTGCTCCTAAGCCCTTTTCTCCTCTGCAGACTCCAGGAAACTTCATGCGGAGAACTCAGCTGTGGCTTTTGCTGGCTCCTGCTCCGTGTGTGCTGCAGCTTCTTCCTGCCTCTCACAGGGTCAGCCCTGAAACAGCCAGGGAATGAAATGGTCAGGGTCGTTTCTTCCACTTGCCACTGCTGTTACGTTCATGTCCTCCATGGGTCTCTCCCCATCTTCCTCTGAGCTCCAGCAGTGCCAGGTTGGCAGTGTTTGCTTTTTAATAGTTGCAAATTGATTGTCAGGAAGAGTGATGCTAGGGACTGTCAATTCTACCACCTTAATGATGTCCCACATTTTATAATTTTATGATTAAATTTTTGGGTGTTTTTAGTGGGGCCTTTAGAAGAGTTTCTTAGTCTTTTTTTCTCTCTCTCTTAATGTGAGGCAGAAAGAAGCGAAGAGGCTCAAATTGTCTCATTGCCATTCTCCTAGATCAGATTAGGGTGTAGTAAGGCATTTTCTCTTGTTTTGGAGAACACAATGCTCTGGTCACATTTTATAATGGTTACTTTTTCCCTCTCCCTGCTGGAAGCAAGAGATTTTTCTCCCATCTTCACCATGAGAACTGATGGGGTACTGGGGATAAAACTCATGAAAGTGGCGAAGCTTCCCTAAGACTGGGCCCCCAGGAGTTTTTAACTCTCAAGCCAGTTCTTGCTCAGCCTCCAGCAATTAGTCAATCCCACTTAAGTGTTCCTTCCAGTGACCATTTCCAGTGGCTTCTGTTCTTATTGAGCTCTGTATTCACCTTTCTCTCTAGTTTTGGGGATGGTGGTTTGCCCTGTTTTCTCAATTCTTTGGTAGATCTAAGAAGAGTTGTTGATTTTTTGTGTGGTCAGCTTTTCTCTTGTTGTGAGGACAGAGTGATGACTTCTGAGCTCCTTACATGTTGGAATGGAAAACTGTGTTTTCTTTTTAAATTAACATTCCTGGAGTTAATCTGAGGACTCTGTCTACCTAAGATATGCTGCCAGTGATATCTGTGCTTTCATTTGTTTCAATCTTTCTGTTTATTTTTAAGCCTGGCCTCCTAGCAATTTCCTTGGGTCTTATTGGTCAGAAAATTCACAAGCACTAGGCTTCCACCCTCTGCCAGTTGATCCATGCGTGGGTTGGGGAACACATTCAATGTTCATGCTATTTTGAAGTCTATCTTGGTTTTCACTTTTTTCAGGCCTTGTTTGAACTTCCCTATGTATGAACATAGCCAACCAGTCAGCTGGGGTTTTGTGGTAACCTTATCAAGGCTCTCCCAGCTAAATTTCTGGCCTTTCCTGTGGTATGCTGCTTTCCCCAACTGGGACCACAACCTCAGACTAAGAGAGATGCAGGCATTTCCCATTCACTGCCTTGAGTGGGTTTTCCACCTTCCTTTTCAAATCCAGTCACCTTCTGAACCCCTGGACCTCACCTGCCAACAGCAATCTGCTAGTTTCCTTGTAACCCCTAGTTGGGCTTGTAAGCCCTAGTAACAATATCGTGCTGATTGAACTGTGGTGTAGAGAGGGACAAGAACCACTCTAGGTGACAATGCCACACACTACTGATGTAAGCCTTCTCTTAGAGCTCAAGAGGTGATAGTTGGCAACAGAGCCATTTAACCATTGGACCCATAAACATAGAGCCTGGGGCTTTGGAATTTGCAAAAGAACCTAGTAAACTGTTGAAATCCTGGAAGGAAATTACTGAATGAAAATTCTAAAGCTATAAAATTGATACGAATAAATGTTTAACTAAGCTTTTACAAAATGAAACATGTTTACCAATCAATGGCCACTCAGTCCAACTCATATGATTTTATGCATCTCTCTCTCTTTTTTTTTTTTTTCCTTTTTGTCTCTTTTCATGTCCGGCAACGGATCGCAACCCTCAGTGTCGCGCCCGTACCGGACCGGGACCGGCAACGGGATCGCAACCCTTGGTGTTGCTCCCACACCTT